ACAGTGAGGAGGAGCATAAAACCTCCCCTTTACCATGAAGAACAAAACAACAACCCTCAGGCAGAACCAGGCACAGAGAGGGCTGCTATCTGCCTCCACCAGTTGGGGTGGGGATAGCAGGACAGCAGATGGAAAACTGAACAAACAATACACGAGAGACGAACAATGCATCAGCGACTGAACACACAAAGACATGCAAATATCCATGCAAACGACCGCATGTATGCAACTGCACGTGTTCTTGTTATGCTGATGCTTCAGTGTGGGAAGGACGGAGCTTTCGAGGTGCCTTGAACGCAGCACAAGAATGGCAGAAGAGAGAGTCAGAGAACGAGAGAGGCAGTGTGTGTGTGTGTGTGTTTATGTGTGTGCATGCGTGTGTGTGCGCGCGCGCAAGGGGGGCGGGAAACGAGGAGGGGGATGGCCAGAGACCTATGGACTAAATCCCAGCACAGCTACAATCATCAGTTGTTGCAGGCAAACTAAGGCTGCAGGCGCCATAAACTCTTGCTTTTGAATGTGTTTGCATACACGCAGCCGGAGTGGGTAGGCGGACGGACTGTACACACGAGCCATTGCGACCTCGTTATATATATTTATATACGGCGGGGGGCGTGGTCAGTCGAATGGGGCCCAGCCAATGGCGTCGCTGCGGACAGAGCGGGGCGTTCCATTCCGTTAGGAGCAGAAGTTGAACAGCGCGAGCCGAGACAGAGCTCTAGAAAGGCAGATAGAGAGAGGGCAGAGGCAGCGGCCCTCTTCTGGAGGGGGGGCTTATTATAACAAATATATATACACATGTGTGAACTGTTTGGCCGCACGATAGGTCATATGTGGGTAACGGTTATTTTAGAAAAGCATACAACCGCGGCTTTACATTTAAAATGCCTATTTTACTTTTCCTGTTAGACACGTCCGCCTCTATGAATCAGCGCACTTATTTGGGTACGACGTATCTGGACGTTGCTAAAGGCGCGGTTGAGGTCTTTATGAAGGTAAAGAACGATTTTACCCCGACTTTTTTTCCAGCAAGAATGCACCTTTTGGCGAGCTTAGGGCTCCTTGGGCGAGATAGGTCGAAATTAATATATGTTGTTTTGGTTTTCTTTTTTGACAGCTGCGTGCCCGAGACCCGGCTAGTAGAGGCGACAGGTACATGCTAGTTACATTCGATGATCCACCATACGGAGTGAAGGTAATTAGCAACTGATACAATTTTTACATTTGACAAGTCGAACGTATTTTTCTGTCAGTGAGACTTTATTGTCCTTCTGGTTTGTAGTCAGTGTTGGGCGGCTTCCCGGTGGCGAAAACGGCAAATTATTGCTCCAAATAGTCGCAGACCCGGAGCTGCACTGCCTCCGAACATCCAGCGGACATTTTGCTTTTGTGTTGAGAAAAGTCTCGGGCGTTGAGATGGAGGCGGAGAGATTTATTATCAGCTATGACGTTCCGCTTTTTTATAACAGTGCCGCGTCTCGATTGGTCAGCGAGCCCGCCAATCATTTTGTGCCCCGCCCCTTCCATCGGCTGCGCATCGCCATTGGCCAATCCGGGCTGAAAGTTGATAAGCCCTCTTCATCATGAGATTTTTTTTATTTTTATATGAGTTCGCTAGTAGAGAATTATCATTATTCATATGATAATAATTTGTCATGCCGAAACTGTGAGCATACAAACAGTCTAGTTTTCATCCACGCACACACACACACACAGAGGAAAAAAAACAAACATGCAACCTGTGAATCACTGCAATAATTTCATGGGGGTTTCATGTCAGCAAAGCTATCCTCTCCACCAATCCATTGACTTGTTTTATGACTTGGCACACATCTCTTATTTTTCATGCCCAATAAAATACAATCCTAAGTATCCACATGAACTCCTTAAATCTGCTTCTGTGGCTGCTCTGTATTAGAAGTGTCTCTAGGCTTGCCCAACTCTGTCTACAAACAACACTGTACTGCTCAACACAGTGTGCCGAGTGCTTGCTCCATCCCATGTCAACAGTGCTTGAAAACACATGGAGTAGTTTGTTTTCTTTCTATAGTCTTTATTTTTAATTTGCTTGCCTCGTGACTAATTACCAGAATGCTGGGACTGCAGAGAGAGGCAGATGTTATAAAGTACAATGCATGCCAAAATGTACTTGTAATGACTAATTAGTTCCATATTTTTGTGTTTCACGATACTCTTGAAGTAACATTTTAGTGTGCTGTGCTGAACAGCTCGCACAGCTTCCACTTTTTTAAAAAGCCCCAGACCAGACATGAGAACACTACTTTCTATCTCATGATAATTTATTTAAAAACTTGATATTATAATGTTTTACACCCTTCATTTAATAGCCCCAACACAAGGGACGCACTTCTCATCACACGATCAACAAAGTAAATAGGAGATGTTTAAATGACTAGGCGTAAGAATATAGGACAAATGAGCTGCTAGTATCTGAATGTAGGATGTGAAATTAATAGTTATATTTTCAGCTAATTAGAGGTTTACAAAACTGCTTTTCCATTCTGTTTAATCAGTGAAAATATTCAGCACCCTATGATTAATGTGCTCAGTTATATTGTGACGGGTCTGTTCATCCTTCTTACATTTCTACTTTAATTAGATTTTACTTGACCTATATTTGGTAAATTAATCTAAAATGAAGAGCTTCTTTGTTTTATTGTACTAATGTAACCCTGACTTCTGATAAATAAGAAGAACTTAAGATTGACTCCTTCCTTTTCCTTAACAAGCTGCATTTGTTGCAGTATCGTCCACAGTTAGTTCCAGATACCTTTACGTGTTTTCTAGATATGACTACAACACAGACGAGATGTTTTTTTCAGTTAGCTAATGTACAATTACAAAGAAACAAAATAACACGGACCAGATCTGTCTCTTTATTGGCTTTAATTCAATACACAGCAGAAGGACCATTTGCAGCTCATTTCCCAAACATCGTTGTGTAGTTCTCATCGTGTTATTGTAGGACGATGTGTAAGACTGAGATCATGACAAAATGCAATGAGCGGATGCCTATTTCATGTCGTCTTTTACCACAAGTTCCACACGTGACTCACTTAGATAATCATGTGTGTAGCTCTTCCGCCAAATAATCCAAGATGAGATTCCCCTCCCTCACATGAAGTCATCCAGGTGCTGCCTTCCGAAGTACTTTCCCCCTCGTTGTAAAGTCTGTCCTCAACTCCTCACGCTCCTGCTCTTCCTCTCTTTGTCTTCATTGCCGTCCCCCTTTTGTTGTTTCTGCCTGCTTTGTGCACTGAGGATTATGATGAAAGGACAAGGTTATACCGAATGAGGCTACTCTGATTGCACAGTTACAGAAGCAATAAATTGTTGATAAAGAGGGAGAGCGAAAGAGAGATGAGGTTCGGTGGGAAGAAAATAGAAATATTCTGTAGTCTGAATTATTGAGCGCAAGTTAAGCCTTACATTTCGACTGGTCTACACAAGGGTTTGTGTCGAGGTTTACTTTGCTGTTGAATGTGTTTCCACCTTCCGTTGTGCTTCAGCGGTTCAGTGAGATTTCTGGTATGATTGTCTAATATTTATCTAACGTCATTCATGTAATACTGCGCTTTCCTAGAAATTCCACCCAAATCACGACTTTCGGAATTATGTCCTGTGATAATCCAAAAATCTACCCACTGGCCTCATTCAGAGCATACATGTTGATACTGGCAACTCTAGCTTTTTTTTTTTTCCTTCCCCTCTCTTACTCTCCATCTCTGTGCGTCTTCCCCTCCCTCTCCCAACAAAGGAAGTAGTAAGCTTGCAGGTCATCCTTAGATTAAGCATGAAGCTGCAGCAGTAAAGTACTTGACCTCGCCAGTGAAAAGTCCAAGAGCAGCTACATACTCACATCCTCTCCTGTGGGAGTATATCTCTGTCACAGAGGACAGGCAGCAGTGGGAAGTGTATTTTTGGATGCTTGTCATGTATGAAATTAGACTCTTTCTTAAACAGCAACATCCAGCTCAAATGTGGGCCCGAATTTCAACAATATTATCTTCCCTTCCCAGAGCTTCACACAACCCGATCGAATTTTACGGTCACTATTATGTCACGTCACACAGAAACAATGCGTCGCTGAGACTTCTCTTACCAAAGGTGACAGTCATCTGCTTGAATTAATCAGCTTGTGCTCGAACAAAACTCGCTGTGTTTTTCTTTGTAATTACATACTTTGGGTATCTGTGGGTGTGTATCTATTTTGGTTTGTGGCTGTTCGCCCTGCTCTGTGACTTCAAGCCTCCTCTGCTGCATGTTGTACGGCCGTTTGCTGTGCACAGTGTTCATAACGCTGTACATCCATTGCGTGTAATTTCAGGCTGGCTGGAAGGAGAACCATGCCACCTTCATGTGCGAGCTGAAGAACCTGCAGGCGTCGGGGCTGACAACATTAGGTCACGCTCTTCGCACAGCCTTTGACCTGCTTAACCTCAACCGCCTCGTCTCGGGAATCGACAACTACGGACAGGTATTTGGCGTCGACGTACCATTTGCGCGTTTCATTAGCAAGAGAAAAGCAGAATTTTAGAGTCTTATGAATGTTAACTTACTGGAATAAACAGCTTATTTAAATTTGCTACATTCAAGTAATTTCACGATTGGTTGTAGATGTAAACATAACACCACATACTATACATAATTGGGCCACACTGGTGATTTGCATAACATTTATTTCACCATATAAGGGCACTGTTGGGAGAGATTTTTTAAAGCTGAACTGCAGATCCACTGTTTTAGGTTAGGTGTAACACTTAAAGTAATCAGAATAAAGCAGCATTCGACCTAGAGGTCATAGAGGAAGGCTTAGATAGTAGAAGTTACCAATTTTAATCCATGAAAAGGTAAAAATAACACAAGTTAAAAATGGTAAGCACCTGAAATACTTTACAGATAAGCCCACGGTACACAACTAGAGATGAACTTTGTACAAAAACTAAATGTGACTGAATAGATTTTTCCTTTGATAAACAAACAATTTGGAGGTTTTTAGTATGATTGTGACATCCACAAATGTTCCAGTTGGCATTTTACCTGAAGACAACTACAAGAATATTGACTTTTGGCTTTAGCTTAATCCACCCGCTGTGTGTCAGGAAAGGCAGTCATCTTCTCCTTGTGCACATCTTTTCTCTAAACCCCTGCTCGTCGGCAAGAGATGGATTACTACACTCGGCCTGTGACACAGGTTCTGTGCATCAGGAGCGTCTAAATCTACTTAGGCATTCTCTGTGTGTTTGAATTAGACAAGGCTGACCTCCACAGCACAGTGGTAGAGGCCTCTGTCCTTAATGAGTAACACAAGGACACAGTGCAGCTTACAGATGCATTCTGACACCGAGCAAAGATTACCAGCTGCAGCATGGAGTTCATATTCGTAACTACAAGGTTGTCAGAGGTGTGATGGTAATTCCATACTAATTACTGTGTTTTAGTGGATCTCTGTTTAAGCGTTACACCAGCATTTCCCCATTACTCTCACTGTGAGACACCAATTACATTTTGTGTTTTAGGAGATGGGAATCTTTTTCAGGCACAGAGCCCAGAACAGTGTTTGGGAATGTAAAGAAAAGAAAGCAGACTAGTGAGAATAAATGGACTCGCTGTTTGCCTGAAGTTGAATTTAATTGCTGAATGTTACCATTCCCCTCTCAGGGCCGTAACCCATTCTTCCTCGAGCCATCTGTGATCATCACTATCACTGATGGGAACAAGCTTACACACAGCTCTGGGGTGCCAGATGAGGTGAGAGCACAAACAAATGCAATCGTGCTACCATGTACTGTTTGTTGTAAAGCCAACTTTACAATACTGTGGGTGTTTTAGTAAATAATTCTGCTATCTGTTTACACTTTGTAAGTCAAATTGTGTGAAGTTGACCTTTGGCAGTATCACACCTTTTTATCTCGTTCTGCTGTGTAGTTGCACCTGCCTCTGAACTCACCTTTGGCCGGCAGTGAGCTGACCAAAGAACCTTTCCGCTGGGACCAGCGTCTGTTTGCGTTGGTACTGAGGCTGCCAGGAGCAGCGACACCAGACAATGAGCAACTTGGTAGCGTCCCGACAGATGAGTCTGCCATCACCCAGATGTGTGAAGTCACTGGAGGTTCGGCTTTACTTTGTTTTTTTTCATTGTGTTCCGAGTAGCTTCAGTAAAAAGCAGCTGGAGTTCTCTTTTAGGTTCTTGAAGATGTTCAGTGTACATGACCCAAAAAAGAAGTGAAGAAGCCTCTTGAATGATAGGTAAGGAGTCTTCAAGAATCTAAAATAGAGTTGCTTTTTACTGAAGCTACGAGGATTACCATGACCTGGATGACTGAGAAACTTCACAGATTTATTCATTGTATATTTTCTTATTTCGTCAGAACTCAATAATTAATTCTTTTATGTTTGATTGTGGTTGAGCTGACGACCTATTTACAGGGGCTATAGTCCCCGACACGGAGATCATGAGTTCAAATCCCGCTCATGGCACTTTTAAACCTGTCCCTTAGTCGGCTGGGATAGGCTCCAGCCCCCCCGCGACCCTCGTGAGGATTAAGCGGTGTATAGATAATGGATGGATGGATGTTTGATTGACGTGTGTCGTGCTTTTTTCACTAAGGGCGCTCGTACTGTGTGCGAACACAGAGGATGCTGAACCAGTGTCTGGAGTCTCTGGTCCAAAAGGTTCAAAGTGGCGTTGTCATTAATTTTGAGAAGACTGGGCCAGATCCACCTCTCGTTGGGGAAGGTGAGTTTTTTGGGTCATGTGCAATAAATGGGCAAAAGGCAACAATCATTACATGTTCAAATCCTGCCTGTTCATGTCGTGTCATAACAGTTTTGTTTGTACAAAATGTTTTGGAGCCCTCAGGACCCAGTCAGGTGCATTTATATAAATCAAGTGACTTATGCACAATAAGGAAGTGCATCTTATTACATCCTGAGCACATTGTCTGATCACATCTTATGCAGTTAGTTGGAGCAAAGGTACTGTCGGCAGTAAAACAGGTGAAAGCAGAAGAGAATCTTCTAATTCTGGATTTCCACAGTACAGTTTTACACCAAAAAGAGAACTGAATGCATTTTCCAGTTTGGCCAAATATATATTATAAAGAAGTAGGATTTTTAATTTAACATATATATTATTTTATTGTTGGAAAAAAAGATGACAAGTTGAATTTTAAATGTCTGTATAGAATTTTAGGCCAAAAATGACTGAAAAGCCAGTTTGTGTCAGTCAGTTGATTTGTAGTGTTTTCTGGCATTTGGTTTGCATTGTACACTTTTCTATTCTGCAGATAACGCTGTAGAGTCGAGTCGTCCTGTGTCATCGTTCAGCCCACAGCCGTGGCACAGTTGCCACAAACTAATCTATGTGCGACCAAACCCAAAGACGGGGGTGCCAGTTGGGCATTGGCCCATACCAGAGTCCTTCTGGCCGGACCAGAATTCTCCAACTCTGGTGAGCAGAAAAGCTTAAAAATATCTCAGCAGATCTTCAGTCTGCTGTTCTGCGGGTTACCACTCATAATGCTGCCATAATACATAAATCTGAGTTTGACTGAATGCTCTAACTCTGTTAATCTGTTGTTATTGATATTGTCCACGCGTGTCTTTATAGATGAAAGCTCCACTCTGCTCTGTTACTTTCACTTTGTCTCTCTTGTATTTCTATTTGTTTCTCTTTTATTGGCAGTTCTCTTATTCTCTGTCTAACATCAGTCAGTAACCTTGACTTACAGTCAGTATAATGAAGTGTTCAACTCTGCACACTCAGGCTGCCATTTTGATTACCTGTAAATCTTTAATGCGTTGTTATGCAGTGCTGTTGCAAGGGCATCAGATGGGTTTGTACCACTGACAAACATGCCTAATAGTTTCCTCAATCATCTCCATCTGCTGCTCTCAGCCACCTCGCTCAGCTCATCCTGTGGTTCGTTTCTCTTGTGTGGACTGTGAGCCCATGGTGATTGACAAGCTGCCCTTTGACAAGTATGAACTGGAGCCCTCTCCGCTCACCCAATACATTCTGGAAAGGAAATCTCCACACATGTGCTGGCAGGTAGAGTAAATAATCACACACTCATCGGCTTTGTTGCCTTGTTTTTGCAGTCACTGTTGTTGCCTCAGGGACTTTTCCGAAACCCTGAAATAATGAGGTTGCTTGCTAAATTCCTAATACCTTTTCACCTTCTAGCAGCGGTGAATTAGTCGTTGGGTCACGCCAGGGAAGCTTGATCATTAAGCACAGATCTACAAACCGTTTTGTAAAGCTGAATTTTTAAGTCTAACAAACAAGTGTTATTTGACTGTATAATTTTCCTTCTTATCCTCAGGTGTTTGTTAGTAGCAGCGGAAAGCAAAGCGACCTGGGACAGCCGTTCGGCTACCTTAAAGCCAGCACCACTCTCACCTGTGTTAACCTGTTTGTCATGCCTTACAACTATCCAGTTCTTCTCCCACTCCTCGGTAAGACATATTGCAGTGAACTTGTCTTTAACATGGCCTTGAAACTTCTGGGTCAGTAGGTCTGTGCTGATATTAAATTTAAAAAGCATTCCTTTTCTGGGGCACCTCATCATCTGCAGGGTTTTTTCCCCCCAGTCATCTTTAACTATAAACATAATCACACACAGCAGATTTGTAACACAGCAACTTAGTAAACAGGTCGGCTCTGATTATTCTGTGCAACAAAGAGGTGTTTTGAGACAAAGGGTAAAAAGTTGTGTATCATATTTTGATGCTGGTGTTCGACTCACCACCACCACCATCATCTCAGTATTGATGTGTGTGTAGCCCTGAATGTCTGACTGGTCACTGATCCAGAATGCTAAAACTTCTCACACACTCTCTTTCTTCTCCTTTCAGATGATTTATTTAAAGTGCACAAACTAAAGCCAAACCTCAAGTGGCGACAGGCCTTTGAGATGTACCTGAAGACAATGCCTCCATACTTCCTCCTGGTAAACTAATGCTGGATCACTTATGCAGCCTTTAGTAAATTGATTTATGCTGTTTTCCCATATAATTAACTTCCACAATTTTCTCTACTACCTTCCGACAGCCCTTGAAGAAGGCATTGAGGATGATGGGTGCACCTAATCTTATCGCAGACACCATGGACTGCGGCCTGAGTTACAGTGTCATTTCCTACCTGAAGAAGCTCAGCCAGCAGGTGAATATTGCTTGCACGCAAATTCTCGTACCATAATTTCCAAGCAGTGTGACAGTTATAGTAGTCGTGGTGGGCTAGTGAGTGAGAGAGAAAAAGCCCAAGCTGTGGTACACAGCTAATGTGTTCATCAGTTGTCAAAGTGTCCTTGACGGTAACACAGTCTTCCCTCAGGGAGGGGAAATTTCCAATTCAAATAGAATGACAGGTACTACTTAAAAGTCTGACACAAGGCAATAACTTAAGGTATTATCAGTTACTCATTATTCTGATGCAGTAAAGGGTTGATTGAATATGAAGTCAGAGCAGTTATAATTGCTTGTTTTTCATGTAGCCATAAATCAAACTCAACAAGACAAAGTCTGCACAAAGGATCCACCGATGTGAGTTTGAAGAAAGACTAGTAACTGATATATGGAGCCAATATACATTAAATGTTATATATTAAGAACTTGTGATTGCAGGAAATCTATTATTCATAACTGGGCTGTTTGATTAATAAAGATTACTGTTCCTGAATATGAGCAAAAAGAAGGAGAAGAAGCGATGGCATCACAGCGTCATGGGATGTGAGGACGCTTACTGTAAAATCGATAATCATTTATCTCCTGCAGTTACGTCTACTGTTCTTCTGTTTTGTTAATCTTTTACTATTCAATCACTTTTAATGCCCACTACGGCCCACATCTTAAAGCATTATTAGGTATTGTTTTCCAGATACCGTTTCAAGGTAATCTGTGGCTTCCTTCTAACTTATCCATCCATCCATTGTCTACACACCACTTAATCCTCTGTAGGGTCATGGGGGCTGGAGCTCCTGCTAACTTAGCTGTTAGCATAACCTATTTCCTGCTTTGTGGTCACGGCTGTGCTTCCTGTTCAGTTTATGCAGGTTGTGTGTCTGCTGGAGAGACGTTACTGTCAATTAGAATAGTGGTAAAGTTAGTCTGACTTTAGAAAGATGCTACGGTATTCCAGATAACGTTAGATTAGTTCCAGCTTCAATGAAACCAACAAGTGAAGTATTTGAGCATTTTTCAATGCAACAGAGAAATTGAGCATGCTTTTTGAAGATTGTTATATGTCTTACAACTTCAGCAATTTCTGTTACCTCATCCTTAAAAAAACACTCAATTTTACAAATGGCCTCATTTGTCCCTGTCTGTAAACAGTAACGTTCAGTGTTGATTGGCTGTTAGTTGTAACATGTAACCAATAAGATGGCTGAGACCGACAGACAGAGATTGAAAGGCGGCTGCATCAGATCAAAAGTAGCACATTTACTTTATCGATAATCAGGTAATAAAAGTAATGTTATTAATAATCACAAAAATGCCAGATATCAGCTTTGATAATGGGCCTATCCCTACTCTGCATAATGTAAATGTGTGCATTTTAAATAGCGAAAAGATTCTAAGCTTTGAGCTAAAACAAAAAAACACGCCAATTCTCTAAAGATAATCAGCACTGACACTGTGACTGAAAAAATGAAAGGCTCCACTTCCGCCAAACCTACCTTATGCTTTCAGTTACAAAATCAAAATCTACCCCTGTGTTATCTGGTAGAGGTGATGCATGATGTTTGTATCTCTTACATTCCCTGTAAACACAATGCACCATTGCCTCAGTAGAAGCGTCATTATAGGCATCCTTAGGTCTCGAAAGAAATTATGTATGTGTTATGTCGGTAAAGTCCAGCACAAGAGTGGCGGTCTCTACTACACGAGCTGCGCAGTGTTTTTCCTTCCGGCTTTGTTTACTTCTGAGTCCCGTGTAATCAGGGCATGAGGTCAGGGCAGCTTTTATGGAGGATAAAGTCCCCGTATCGTAATTGCTGTTGTTATTTAACAGAGAGGTAAAAACAATATACTGGTAGTATGGTGAATATATAAACAAAGCAAATGTTGCTCTCGATGTTTTACATGAGTATTTGTGGCTGAAATTATGTTTTCAATTCTCCAAAAGATGCAGAGAAACAAAACAGAGACATGTACCCAAAAAAAAACATGAATACATTTGTGCTCAAAATGATTTTCCACACCGAGATCTTATGGACAGATAGTAAAATATTGTGTTTTTTTTTTTTTTTTTATTGCACAAAGGCAAAAATAGAATCGGATCGTTTAATTGTGTCAGTGGGGAAAAAGGCTCCTCAAGAAACCGGCATAAAGGTGAAGAACCACTCCAGCTCTCTCTCTCTGGCCCACCGGCGAGACTTCAAGCAGCTGCTGCAGGGAATCACCGGGGAGGGACCCCTTCGCCTGGTCGACATCAACTTCAAAGAGTTTGCCGGTTTCCAGATCGCTCTGCTCAACAAGGTACATTTAGGACAGCGATGACATTTTTGCGATGTATGACATACTTTCTGTTGGTGGCACACACGCAGGGAAACCTGGGCAAGTACAGTATTTGGTGGGTTTCCTCTGAATGGATGCACAAATGTTTTCGCAGGATGTAAAACCTCAAGCTTACCGGAATGCTTACGACATCCCGAGACGAAACCTTCTGGATCAACTCACCCGAATGCGCTCCAATTTGCTGCGGACGTCACTAAAACTGATCCGAGGGCAAGATGAAGGTATTTTATCTTGTTAATAATTCATAACAAACAGATGAAGCACAGTTAATATTTTGAGAATTATTCATCTAAACTTATGTGGTGCTCGTTACTTACCCAAAATACCAAGTAACCCAAAAGTTCTTCTTAAATTTAACTGAAATTAAGTGTTGTTCGTACAGTGTTTTATTAACATGTATAACATTCCTTGTGGCTGTTAGACTACCTGCACAGTATTCCAGTGGCTCAGATGGGAAACTATCAAGAGTACCTGAAAATGATGCCATCTCCTTTGAGAGAGATTGACCCTGATCAACCTAAGCGGCTGCACACATTTGGGAATCCTTTCAAGCAGGATAAGAAGGTAAAAATATATCAACCCAGAAGTACTAATCAATACAGTTTAGCTGTGCACAGTGTTGTCATAATGGATGTTCATTCAATATTTAGTCCTTTTCGTTCTGTAATGTCTGGTTTTCCTCGAATGTTATTCGCAGGGGATGATGATCGATGAGGCAGATGAGTTTGTTGCAGGCCCTCAAAACAAGAAAAGAGGAAACTCCAACGATTCTAACTCGGGTGCTACTTTGAAGAGAAGGCGAAGTATGTCACCGTTGCTGCGGCGGCCGCAGACTCCACCGGGAAACACCAACCATGTGGTGATGGGAAAAAGTCTAGCCGGAGTTCAGGGGCAACAGAATCTCCTCAAACCCATCCCACAGCACAAAGGTGAGATTAAGAGGAACCTAAAACACTTTGCTATAGATGCATGAATGATCTGTGAGGATTTAGTGGTGAAATATTGCTTAAATAGCAGTGAACATGAGTTTTAAATTATTCTCCTTTAGGAGTGGACGGCACCAACATGGTGGTCGCTGAGAGTAACGGTGACAGCGTTCTTGGGCTTGACACTGGGGAGATCTGGCCCGCTGAGATGGACACTGAAGCAGGGAGTCCGTCTCCACTGAGCTTAGAGGAGAAGGCCGGGACAGGAGTTGTGCTTCGGGATGAGGACATCAGCATGATGGAGGAGCAGCCGGTGGAAGATCATCTAGAAGAGCAGCCGCTGGAGGAGAAACACAACTGTGAACGTCTGAGTCCGCAGAGTCAGCTGGATGAGACTGAAGCTGACCCTGCAGCACCCGAGACCATATTCATAGCCCCACTAGACGGGAGCCAAGCAGAGCTGCGAACGCGGGTCATCAAGGAGGTCCGCAAACCAGGAAGAAGTGAGTATGAGCTGCTGCACGCTATCAAACTACATCATCCAATCCAGCAAAGTAGATTTCCTGTGAACTGTTTTCTCATCCATACCTGTGTCTTGGTGCTTTTTCTCAGACTATGAGGCAATACTCCAACTATTACAGCAGGTGAAAGGACCAATAAATGTACAAAGATACTTCATCCAGCATGCTATCAAAGAGGCTATCAGGTAAGAAACAGCGGCTAATTCTTCAGTATTAGCTAAGCAAAGGTGTTCTAAAGCATTTCAATAATCCCCAAACATGCCTGTTTAGCAATGTGTCAATTAGACCCGTGTCACTGCAGTCAGATTGTAGATGGTGTGTCCTTGAAGCAGTGCAGCTTCAGCAGCAATGACTCATGGCCACACTGCAATTACTTTCACAACCGTTTAATTTAGGTTCGCCTGCAGCACTGTGTAAAAGTTTTAGGTACTGAGTGCAGAAAAACCTAAATCAAATCGATATTCAGTGTGAGGACCCTTTGCCATTAAAACAGAACTCTCCTCAGGGATAGGGGTGCAGTTTTTCAAGGTACTTTCAGGGAGGCTGTTGCAGGCGTCTCAGAAATCTGTCCACAGTTGTTCTGTGGTATTCATGCATGTCAGTGTCCTTTGTGTCTTCAGGGGATCCCAGACTCCATAATGTAGAAATCAGGGTTCTGTGGGGGTTAAACCATCATCCTTGTTTTAAGCTCTGCCCAAGTCGCTTACATGCTCCAGAACCATTTTTACGACTGATCAGATCCCTCCCTGGTAGTGCTGTTTGATGGAGGACATTCTACACATCTAAAGCGCATAAAACTTTTATATGAACCTTCTTTGGCTCGGTCCTGGAAGTTGCCCCCTTCAACCTGAACTTTCAGCACAATTGCCATTCCCAATTTATTTCTCTGCTTGTTCTAAATTGTTTTTCCTCTCTGGCAGGTTCAAGAAGCGGGTACTGATCCAGCAGCTGGAGGCTGCCCTCGCCGAGTTGGAGGGGAAGCAAGCAACGTTGTCACAGCTTCCCAATGATCATGGCAGGTAGTGATGAAGCCATGTTCTCTTTGTTACTAGATAAAGAAATAAGACTCCTCTGAAGTATATTGTGCTCACCGCTGGATATCACCACCACAAGAGACACAACCCTCTTGACCAGCCTCAAAAGGACAATTTGGGAAACCAGAGAAGGAAAAGGACAAATGCACTGATGCTCCTTCTGCCCCTGTGCTGTTACATGACATCCTGTGAGAGGCAGAGGGGAACGGGTTTAACTGGAGGAGGAGCCTTCAGGACTGATCCACTGGGGATGAGTAAACTTTAAAAAAAATAATCCTCTTCATATTGACAGATGCCTTAAACTTCCATATGGCTTTTGTCTGTATGGGCACATTGTTCAGTGGACACACACACACACTCCGTCAGACAGATAAGCGTCAAATCCTTAAGTGAGCAAGACCAAGAGATAGACTGATTTAAGCCTGCTGTTGTTGTTCTTTGAAAACAGACCTTTCTTCAGCTGGTCTGAAAAGTGTTTGTGCGACTGCAACGATTTTTACGAGTAATAAAACTGTTGTGCATTCTTGTAAATTGGAAGCTGGCAGGAGGAATCTGGTTTGGTGGGAAATCTGCACAAGGATGCACGAGATGATTTTTGACCAAGTTGATACTGTCATCTGAAAGTGTTCCTATTTTAAGTGGTTGATATTGACATGCATTGGCATTAGGGATGGGCAATAAGGACAAAGTCTAAGAGCGTACATAAAATTTTATGTTGCAGCAATACATGTTGGGATATGAAATCAATTTCCTGGAACTATAATTGAGAAACCATTGGAACAGAATTGGTATCTATGGCTAATCTAGTCATTAAAGTACCTCCCATGTAAAGCCTCAGTAGTAGTAGCATCTGCATTGCCACATTAAAGAGTAAAGGGTATAGCAAATTCTCAAATATGTCATAGGACATATTACCCTATTGCCCAGAAAAGGTCAAACATGCCGAACTTATTTATAATTACATGGCGTTTAAATGTCCCAACTGGGTCCATTTAGTTACAAATACGACAACTACATTGATAAAAAAACAATGTATCGTTATGGACACCAGTGTGTTGATGAATCAGTGTTCAGTGACTCAGTACCTTCTCAAACTGGAAACAAACTCATGAGATATCCAACACCAGACAGTGGTGTTTACTGGTTTATTGATCGAGGGTCATTATCCTCTTATCTGCCATACAGCAATAGAAACATGGGTTCAGTAAAATGCAGCTGTTGGTATCCATTTAGAGTTTACTCATCCAGCTCCATGACACATTTCACACATAAATCATCCTCCACAGGCACCACAAACACTCCACAGATCCCCCAGCATTACAGCTTTACCGCGAGGAAGCTTTGCATCTGTCCGGGCTTCAGCTGACAGCCACCTTTTTGTTTGAGTGAAACAGCTGGTAACTCTGTACCCTCTGCTGCTTTTTTCATAAACCCAAGTTAGCGCTCCTCCTTCGTTCCTCCTTGTTTTTACGACAGATGTACACTACTTTTTAATGTTCATAGGGAATATAGATTATTTTTGTGAATTTGTTTATTTCAGAGTTTAAGAAATATTTTGAAAGAAATGTCTAAAGCCATTTTTGTAAACTGTTAAATACATATACAAAGTGGAAAGTTTTATGAACCTACTTTTTTTTAACAAAACAAAACAAAAAAAATAAACCACAGGTAGAACGGTGTGTGCTGCTTTGTGTGTCTGTGTTTGTATTTCCACCGAGTCTTTCAAAACTCAGTTTTGAAAGACCTACGGGACACTTTCACCAGTGTCTTCAACGCCACTCGGTTCAGGTTGTACTTCAACTGTTTTTAAAAGCCTGAAGAAATAAAATAATTCAGTAAATAACAAGAGAAAAAAAGTCAATCCTGAAAGTTAAAAACTAAACATTTTGTGCTGCGACAATTAATCACCTTATCAACTAGTTTTCAGGTATGAAATTAACTAGTTTTGATAACAGATTAATTAGTTTAAGCAGTTATTTCCCCCAAATAAGTAAATTCTCGGATTGCAGCTTCTTGAATATGAACATTTTCTGGTTTCTTTCCTCCTCTATGACAGTAGATCAAGAAAGAACAATCTGTTGGTGCAGTCCTATTTTTGTTCATGTCTTGTAAATCATCTTCCACGGCTTAATGGAGTCCTGACCCCCATGTGAGCAAACAATACTAAAAGATAAAAACTAATTAAAATCTTAAAGTAATGATACTATTTCCAGCTATCATCCATCATTTGATTGTTGACCAACTTGAAGTAAAAGAACCAAAAACTGTGTGAAACAAACCTGATGATAAGGATCCAAGAGGAACCATATTCAGCTGAAACCAATCAATGGACTTAAAAAAAAACTTCCTGCTGCAACAATCTGAGCTTTAATGTCAAACAGCTTGTGGATCATTTTAGCTTCTGCTGCCATCTAGAGTCCAACGTCAACAACTGCAGGCTCTTTAATCAGGTGGAATGTTTTTGAGATGCTGCAGACCTGCATCAAGGTCACAGTTACACACACCTCTCCACTCATTATTACAGTGATTTAATCTATTAGTAATATATAGAGAACAGCAGACGAGTAAAGGACTGATGCCTTTCAGGGCCTTTTCATTTAATTATTTACATCCATTGGTAATTAAAGGAGCTACTGGGCAAAAAAACACATCGTGACACCTTGTAAAATCAGTATGCCTTTTTATTAAATCGAAAACAATCTGTTGAATCTTAACAAAATGTAAAATGAAGGAAAAAATAAACTTCACCCCAATGAATGTACCATTACTTTCTGCTCCGCCTCAGTCTTCACAGTATCATTAGAAAGGCTGTCTAATGTTCTCTGCTCTCACGTTTCACCTTGCATCGATTTCCTCTGGTGCACAAGCAAAACCTTTTCCTCGCATACAGCATGTACAGCGCCTTCGCGCCTCCAGGAAATCATCAAGGAAATAAAGAGTTCTCAGTTCATACAACAAAACTCGTTTCAGTCGACAAAAGTTTGCCCAGACAGCAGCAGAAGACCGACGTGTGGTTGAAATGAAACAGTAACAAAACAGGCTTTGTTATGCTTCTCATACAAAAGATATACAAAGGACAGCAATATCCCAAATCAGTTCAGATGGGACAAAAAAGGGGGGAGATGTCTCAGTATCTTAAGACTCCAAAGCGATTACATACTGTATATACAAATAAATCTGCTTGAAAAACTGAAGGGTTGGCACAGTCAGTGTTGAATATGGTGGTAACCACTGTATGGACAGAGATGCATGTTTGGACAGCATATTAGTTTATTTACAAATAAAAATTAAAGTGGAGGAAGATGAATTCTCACTTTTCCCTCCCTCTGTCTAACAAAAAAAACAAATCTTATCTGACAACGACGATGTTACAGGCAGGAAAGGCCAGTCTCAGTGCAAATTCTCCAGCTTGCGTAGCCGTATGGGGTTGGGAAGAGCTTGCTGGTTGCGTACGGAGGACGGCTCCTCCTCTGGCGAGCGGAATAACACCCGACCCCGGTGATTGAAAAGGTAAAAGGATGGGTGGTTCCTCAGCGTATCAAAAGTTCTGGGGGGAAAAAGGGATGAAGTTATTAAAAATGTTAGCAAGTTATGAACTTATTGTAACACTCACTACAGCACATTGGTGTCAAAAATCTTCACATTAGGACACTTCCTTGTTACAAATAAAGCCTTTTAGGTATTAAAATTCTTGCACAAAGTGATGCAAACACCCATTCCCTTCATCATGGTGTGATGAGAACTTTCACTACATCTGCTTTTGGGGGGAATTATCACATGGAAAAGAAACAAAGGTGTCTGTGTCATAAGAGTAAACAACTACGGTACTTCACATCAGAAATAAAAATAATGGTGTGTAATATCAGGTGCAAAAACATATAATCTGTCAGCGGATTTTTCAAGACATTTTTTCTCGCAAAAGTGAAAAACATTCTGACTTTGGGGGCCACCGTCACTAAGTTTGTAACATGCGAACTGTATGATGGGATCATTTGCTTATTCAGTCATGCTGACAGAGTCCACCAGGTAAAAAACAACAACCTGCAACTCATGTACAGACACAAAAGAGCCGTGTAAATCTTTTCCTTTTACTTTATATCATCAGCATATTTGGGTTTTGACCTGTTGGATGTCCTCAGGCTCTGAACATTTGTATGACACATTGTTGCCTTTTTTCTGATTTTCTTAGACTGAACAATTAATTGAAACATAATCCTAAAATAAATTAGGACAGAATAATTGTTTGGGGGCAGCCTCATGCAACTGACTTTATCCTTGGTTTCATCAAAAGATCCTCCAACTGGATACAGCTCTCTGCTGTAATGACTCACAGTAACGGCACAATGACACATTGTAGCAGAGAGCCAATATGTTAAATGTGCAGCGAATGCAATCAGTGGCAGTGATCGCAGTACAAAGCAAAGAAATCAGTTTTACAAAGCTCTTGCTTGTTCGTGAGTTGCAGGTATGGTGTTCGTTTGTTTTTTGGACCCTGACAACATTAGCAAATAAGCAAATCAACTCGTGTTTAGTGAAATGGGCCCCCGAAACCTGACAATGTTTTTCATTTTTGCAAAGAAAAATTACTGCTGTATTACACTAAAGTAAAGTGCTGCTGACTTATTTGTCAGAAAGCCCACACCACCATCTTGACATGCAGTGAAGCAATTACTTATCTCATACTGTCTATAGAAACTCTAGCTCCAGGGTGCCAAAATATCTTTGTCAGCTCAATCTTTTTCCTTAGAACCTATTTAAAATTGTTAAACTATGCAGTTTGGCATCTAAAAAAGGTGACAAAATCTAAAACCTTGAGATATTTAAAGAAAATATTACATGTACAGTCTCTACGGGTGCCTTATTACAGCTTTCCTGGAATGTTTTGTTCATTCAATCTTCATGTAACCAGTCTTTCAATACATTGGCTGAAACTGTACAAAAAGCAGTTCATGGTGTTTGATATAAAGCTACATCTGGTTCAACAGAACATATTAATGGCCACCAAAAACACAACATCCCCTCAGGGAGGTCTGTGTGTGAGTCTGTGGGAGCTGATTCACACCGGTGTGACTATAAATGCAGCTGAGGTGGCGAGCTGCCTGCTTCCCCTGTGACAGAGGACACAAACAACTCCATCACCGTGGGAGTGAGGTGCTGCAGGGTGCATCGGCTTACTTGTTTTTCAGCTCTGAGGAAGCATCCATGTCTTTGAACTCTCCAGCGATGTGGACAATACCATAGCAGGTCATCACAAACGATAACAAGGTCTGCAATACAATCTGTGACAGGAGGAGGTGGGAGATAAATAAATCTGGCAGCACTTTGCAAAATGAAGGCAGACATTAACACAAGAATAAAAAGTCACTCACGTCAATTGGTAGCGTCTCATGCTCCTTCTCTGTGAGTCGCATGTATGATCGATCTGATGGGAGAAATACATTTTAGGCACAGCAAGTAAAATTAACATTATTTCACTGGAGCAGCAGCTAAACAGCTAAGTCTGACTGATCCGAAATAAGGCTGAATTTTTAAACCCCCACTAGTCTAGTCACTCTTAGGATTATAAATCACTGCTACTTGTACTTTCACACCGAACTGCAGGTGAATATTTAACCCGTCACCCCCGCGACTCATTCAAAGCGGAGCTAAGCTGCCTTAGCATCCCGTTAGCTCGCTGATGGACCGACTGAAGGCCCGACCGGCTGTTTTATCGACCCTGTCCGGCGAAAACACGCCGCGGCAGGACCAGACAAACACACCGGGACGCGGGGGTTCACACTCTGCGCCGACACTTACGCTGTGCCGCTGAGAAAGCCGCATGAGCTAAGGCAAAAAGTCCGACACCGACAACACCTTTCCAAAACGACGAGGCCATCTTGAAGCAGAGCGACGACGAACTGAGAGCAGCGTCGTAAAACTGTGTCGTAAAACGGTGTCGTAAACCGCCGCCACAATGACAGCCAAAATGTATCACCAAGTGGAGTAAAATGACGAAAAAGGAAACAAATTTTTAAAAAAATGTAAATATAGAAAACCCGAGGTGAGTTTTTTTAAAATTTCGTTTGCACACTATATTGTAGAGGAGCTTCTTCTCCTTCGTTGGGGTTTATTAGCGGTTGACAAACATAGATTTGGCGATTTACCGCCACCAGCTGGTGGAGTGTACCACTAACATCTCATATCCATCCCATCAAATTGTTTTTTTTAATTCCAAGATACTGAAAAATGGGAATTTATTGAGTTATTCTGTAAGTGTTTTTTAAACACTCCTATTATCTTTGGATCAAATTGACCCCATTCAATGTTTAACACCTCTAAATAAGTGACTGAAATACGATTTTCAGTGTTATATAAAGGGATATTTACACATACATTTGGGCAACAATTTTAATTATGACAAGTTTTTAGAGATTTAAACTGCTGGGGTTAAATTAAACCCAAAGATAAAAGATGTTAGTAAATTTAAAGGTAATAGGAGGGTTACTTCACTTTATCAAGTTGTACCTTCATCTCAGATTCAGTCATTTTATTTCTGACTCTGGAATAAAACACATTCTATGGTTTCTTCCTCCCCACAGCAGTCACATCTTCCTGTAATTTTTTCTTATTTTAAACACTTTAGTCCAGCGTGCCCACATCGAAGTCTTGATGTTATTATTCCATCTCTCCTGCCCGTTAACGTGCACCACATCTCTCCCACTTTGCTTTGAGCTGTGTAAAACCACCATCCTTTGCTTTTGCCCCTTTTCCTTAAGTCTCTGCTTAATGATGCGCTTTATTTCTGTCCTGCTGAGGGTTAATTGCCAAGTCAGTGTGATTACTTTTTGAGGCTTCCTTTGCAACCTTATCTGCCACTTAATTTCCTTTAATGCTGTTGGCATGAAAATGAATGAAGGCAGATAAGATAAAAACATAAAATGAGGAGGCAGACAAGATAAGAAATTAAGTTGCAGATGAGGTTGTGCCCATAAAAATCTCACAATGAGTCCCATTATTTAAATTCTGTGCATTTCTATCAGGCTGCCTGTAGACTGGCTGGTAATGAGCTTAACTCTTCTATATCTTCTATTTACTGCACGCTAACTATATTGCAGACATTATTCCTGTTTAGACTAATAATCCCTCACTTATACTTGTCCCTATTTTTAAGAGAAACTCCAGAACAATAGTACTCCTTCTTTATTATCAAGACACTTTAGTACATCTGTGTATACTTGGACATTAGTGTTGTAACTATACGCTGCCTGTATAGTGTTCCCTGTCATCAGTTCCTCAGATACTGGGAATGCATGAAAACTCTTGTGTTCACTCTTGCAGCCCACAACAGAACATCTGGTGTATTTACCTCACAAAGAGACATTTTAAAATCAGCAAGAGCAGCTCTGAAAGGTAAATGAACCTGTTGGACTGAGAGGAAGCTGCCCATTCTAAATGGCTGGACTAGAAGGAGTGGGCAGTAAGGGTGCAAAATTATACATAGTTTAACCTGGACAGCTACTGGTTTGTGGTGGTGCAGAGCACTTAGGTCAGAATCCTTCTGGCTTTTATCAGCTTGTGGAGTGATGAGAAATGGCAGACATAGACGGTTTCATATCTGAACATCTGCTATGTTACGCCTCCAAGTTTATAACAAACACAAAACACACAAAATGTACCAATTAATGCTTTTTTAAAAATACGCCCCTTAGAGCTCTTACTTTGAAGTGACGCGCTAACATCCGCTCTAGCCGCTGCCCCTTCCTGTTAGCTTACACTGCTTCCATGTCAGACCACATTTAGCTTCTTACCTCTTTGTTATATTCAGTCACTTTACAGTGCTTTTAAAGAACAATCCGAACCAAACATGGCAGAAGCCATTCAGAAGAAACTGAAGGCGGAGTTAGAGAAATACACGCAGATGCAGAAAGGTGAGTCCGGTAGCTTCTCGTGGCTGCTCCTAGTGTGGCATGTTGAGTCAAGCTAGCTGTCCATATTAGGGCAGCTAACCATACATTTGACTCCCTGCTGAGACATCACTGGAGCATTTTAGCTGTCATTTATGGTCGCAATGACACTTCTCCCTCATTAGGAGAAAAAATAATAATGAAACCCTGTCGTCATCATGTCGTGTCTGTGTGTTGGTCAGATGTTAGCAAGAGCATGTCAGCCAGACAGAAGCTGGAGACGCAGCTGACAGAAAACAACATTGTCAAAGAGGTAACTGGACTCATTTTCTCACGATATTATCCACTGATGTTTGGCTTTCTATACTGGGATGTGTATACTAAAGACATGATCTGTGTATTTTCCCAGGAGCTCGATCTGCTGAACAGCTCCAACACCGTGTACAAACTGATCGGTCCAGTATTAGTGAAGCAAGACCTGGATGAAGCCAAAGCCACAGTCGCAAAAAGGCTCGAGTACATCAACGGAGAGATGTAAGTCAAGCTTTTTGTTTTCCTGTGGTGTTCATGCTCATAGTCCTACAGCCTGCACAGGTTCAGGGAACTCCAGTATCAACAGTTTTTGGATTGCCTGCACAGGACATGTGGTATTTTTAACCTCAGAACTATCAGATCTGTACAAAAAGATATGTATTTTATCATTATTATTTTCTTTGTTCCCTTGAGATCCATATTAGTTTTAGTCGCTAGGGTTCAGTTATATCTCTTTTCAGAAATGGGATGGGTAGTTGCTGCCTCATCAGTCTGTTACAGTGATGGCATTGTGTCATTAAAATACACGTCACTTCTCTGTTCCTGTTCATGGACTAATAAACCAAACGTTAAATTTAATCTAATAAGCAAGTTTAGCAATCTGTCTAAATGACTAACAGCCTAGTTTTATGATGAAGTCTGTCCATGTGCATTTCTAATCTTACTTCGACTTCACCAACAATAAAATAAAAGTATCCCAACAGATGATTTAACTGCAGCTGATAAACTGCAATTCTGTGTGAAGGAAAGGACAGTGTGATCCACCTCTTAGATCATTAATAATAATCGTCTCCGTGTCGGGTTTAACTCACAATTGTGAGAAATCAGTGTTTGTGCTGTTGCTCCATGTGCCTACATGCACACAGCTCTGTGATGCTGCAGGCAGGTAACAAGCTCAGAGTTGCAGCTTGAAGCAGGAAACGAAACCTCAGCTCCTCTTTTAATTCAATTCGTTATCGATGAGTCTTGTTAATCTGACCTAATCCAGTTACCGTGACGGTGAAGTTTCATTTTTATGGACAATATTTAATAGTTGGGAAATCGTATATTAAAGTGAACGAGAAAACTGTTTTGTGATTTTGAAAGTATGACTTTTGCGCTCTGTGATACTTCTGGATCAATGTTCAGCAGGGTGGAAGAGCCTTCCTCTGATCACTTCAAACGCCGTCACCTCTCTGTTAATGTGCAGTTCAGACTTGTGCTGTGTTGAACATGAATGTGTCTGAAAGAGCAAGATTAGAGCCGTAGCTTCTACAGAAACCTGACCAAAGTGTTTTTTTAGACATGAAGGTGACACATTCAGATGCTGTCAGGTTTCTGTCAGATACAGAAGAGAGTGCATGTCTGAAAGGAAATAATAATAATGTTCCCAAAAGACACCCTCGTACTGCATGTGGACAAACTTCATGGTAACATTAAAGGAGAGGTGGTAAGACTTTCCTTGTGATACCTTGTAGTGAGCGCTTATGACAGCTGATCAATAAACAATCAATACTGTCAACAAAGAAGGAAAATCTGGTCAGAGCGCTCCGACTGGGTGGAAGTGGCCGGAATGTGCACAATCGCACCGGTCAATTAGGCGTGAAATCCAGCAATGTGTAGTGTTCTAACAATACACTAGTTATTATAACAACAATAAACAATAAATATTAACAACAAATGAGCCTTCAAGCATCAAGTCCTCCTCGTATCTCCACCTCCGTCTTGACAATCAGACAGCCTTGATATCTGACATAAAAGAAGGTTTTACATTTAGTGTCGGATTATTGAGTCTGGACTGTACTTACAAATAGTGCAGCTCCAGTGTTGGTCGTAGGCCAGACTGTAGCTGTGCTATTGTGCTCACTCACAGGTAGAGGGCAGTCAGGAGTTTGATGGAGAAGCAGTCTGCAACATCTGTAGGGCTTTACTTTGTGGCTGAGTTTGCACGAGCGGAGAAAGTCATGATGGTGTTTGCCAGTCAGTCAGTTTATTAGGCACATGATTAAAGTTAAGTAAGTAAAATGAGTGCAGCCCAAACATCTCATTCAACATCATGGGGACTTTGTTGTGTTTAAAAAAACATTTTTAGAACGATGGATGACATCTCATGTCCAAAACCGAATCACTGTGAAAGCATTGAGTGTACATAAAGGCAGGTGACGGTGTTTTATTCCTGTGAGTATATTTACACATGTTTTTGTCCTGTTGCAGTCAAAGGTACGAGTCACTCCTGAAAGAAATGGAGAAGAAATCCGAACAGCATCGAGAAGTTCTGACTAGTTTACAGCAGGAGTTTCAGAAAGCTCAGGGCCTCACTGCCGGCAAAGTCTGACGCAACAGGATTCATCTGCACGCATGCTCACACACACACACGCACACACACGACGTAGAAGGGATTATAGCGATATAATGTAAACCTGCTACAGTAGGCTGAGGAAGTTCTGCTCGTATCTTGTCTTAATTTGCAGTGTTATTACTGTGACTTTGCTCTTGTTACTAATAAACATGTTTTTCATGAAAGCAAAGCTCTGTTTCAGTTTTCATTAACAGGCAGCTTTTCTCTTTGTAACATACTGACTGGTTACACAGAAAGTCAGATGTCAGAGCTGTTCAGTACAGATTTACTGGAAATGCTTTTATACTATCGTCTGATACATCAATACAAAATGAAAGCCATGATAATGAAGAATTGACACTAAAGAGGGAAGCACAATGTGAGTACAAATGCCAAATAAGAGTAAAACCTGAAATAAAACTACTAAAACACCTTTACTAAAGAAAAACCTTAAGAAGTGATTAAGTCAGTTTATTGATACAAAACTCTGCTCTGTTTCATCGATCACCTCCACATTGTAAAAATACGTT